GACCCTCTCAATGAAAGCACCAATGATGAAGACCGTGTGTCTCGATTGCCGACAAGCCGCTCTCGCGCCTTAAATCGTTCGATAGGTGTTAGGAATTCGCACACTCGCAGCGTTTCTAACGATTATAATTGCAAAAGAATTCAAGAAGAAAACTAGAGCAAAGAGTTTGAACAAAAGTTTGGATTTTTGTATTGATTTATGAATGATTAAATTAACAAGAGGAAGGGCCTTTATATAGGCATCAACTAGATCTAGTCCTAATATAACTATAACTTTAATAAAGAAATAAAATATTAAGTATCCTAAACAAACTAGAAAACAAGGAAATAAAATATTAATCAAGCTATTTAATTTATTTCTTGCTTGCGCCCCAAACCGCCTTGCCCGCGTCCGTGTTGCCTAATCCTCGTGCGCCTAGGTAAGTATGCGCGTGCACCTTGTCGCCTGTACGTTCAAACCCGCATCCGTCCCCGATAGTGTCGCGCGCGTCATCTCCCGCACGCGCGCGTCCGTCCGTATATCGCACCTCGCTGGCACGGCGACTTAACCTCCTTCGCGCATGCCACGCGTGACTTGCTGCATTTTTGAGTCTTCTTGCCGTGTCCGCATCAGCGCGCCCGACCAGTTCGCGCCCCGCCTGTGTGTGTGCACGCCCGTGCGTGGTCCTGCGTGCCACTGCCTGCCCGTGTGTTGTCACCACGCCCATGTGCGCGGGCTGCACCCGTTGGGCACTCAACTCGCGTGCCTTCCATTCCTTCGAGCCACCTGGTTTCTTAGCCATCCCCACCAGGTTCTAACCCTTCTATAAGCATCCCAAAACCTCTGATAGCGCTTCCTTTCGGGGCGTGGTCTCGCCCGTGCACGTCTATGCCAATGCGCGTATTCGCGCCCTTCCTTGCACTCGATTATTGCCCGTCCTGGGATCATCTTCTCGTACGCTCTTGTGCATGTTACCACTTGCACGTTTGCCTGCTCACGGCCATGCCATGTGCGCGCTGTCCACCCAACATCCACCCCTCGCGCACCGCTTATCTCTTCCGTAATGTAAACATCCGAGACCTTAGCCTCCACGCCGCTCAAGCCTTCAAGCCTCAAACTCTCGAGCTTCTTGCTCAACCTCCTATGCCATTGTGCATGTCGGCACCCTCGTATAAGTGCTCGTACACGTCTCCTACGCCATGCAAGCGTTGTTTGCACCCTTTGCATGGGCTTGTCCATTAACCTCGGCCCTTGGCCCTTCACATCATCGAGGGTCAATTCTGACTTCCGTATCATTCCCGCCCCTTTAAGAATGTCCTTGTCCTCAAGGACTCGTCATCGACCATTAATTGGGGCGTCATCACCTCGACCACAACATCTTCTTTGGACTCGTCCCAAATGCCTTCAACCTCGACAAATTACTCATCGGGATATACATCGAAGATAGGCGGTCCGTCATAACCCGTTGACTCCTTTATGCACTCATCATCTTTTGGATCCTTAAAATATTTTGAGAATTCAAACATAAGGATAGGCTCCTTACACTTTGCATCGTCACGACCTTCTTCCTTGTCTGACTCGCCTAATACGTGGTCGGATGCTCTAACCAACTCGCGTTTCTTGAATTGCTGCTGCTCGATCGTCCAAATCTCGGGCACCTCGCCTTCGACCTCGGTTTCCTTGATCCCAGCTTCCTCGACTACTTCGTCGTCCATGAGTTCATCCTCGGGGTACACGTCGAAGATAGGTGGGCCATCATTTTCCGTCGAGACATGCTCGACCATGCTCGCGTATGCGCCTACTTCCTCGACGGTAAAAATCTGACCGCCCCCATGCCAAACCCGCTCAATACTCTTGAGACCAAACTCCTTGGCTCTGCTATCTTTGCTTGCTTTTAACGTGACCCGGTGCTCTCCTGAGTCGAACTCCATGACTCCCATCCGGTAGTCGGTGGTCACCTTTCCTAAACCTTCGAGCCATTGTACTCCTAACACAACGTCGGGTCCCACCAAGGGTAGCACATGGAGATCAGCTTTGATGGTGACTCCTTGAAATTTAATCGGTATCGCACGGTAAGCCTCCGAGCACTTTAGCTGTTCTCCATTGGCTACTCGGACCTCAAATGGTTCGACCTTCGTCGTTGGCAACTTCAACTTTCGAGATAGATCGGTGTTGATGAAGTTGTGCGACGATCCGTTGTCTATTAGCACGACTACACGACGGTCCTTGACCAACATCGGCAGCCGCATCGTCGTTGGTCCTCTTGTACCAGCCATCGCATGCATCGAGATTTCTGCCTCCTCTTCGGGAACCCCAATCTCGACTTCTTGCTCCCAATCCTTCTCGACCTCGGGCTCTTCCTCATTCGGGTCTATGACGTTGATGGCAAAAGCCTGCTTGCATTGATGACCCGGCGTAAATTGCTCGTCTCACTTGAAACATAGTCCCTTCTCACGTCGGCGTCTTATCTCCTCGAGCGTCAAGTGCTTGACTGGTGGTCGTGTGCTATTAGTCGGTCGA